TGGGAGGGAGGGAGGGGGGGGGAGAGAGGGGGGGAGGGGGGAGAGAGAGAGAGAGAGAGAGAGAGAGAGAGAGAGAGAGAGAGAGAAGCATTGACGTGAAAGGGACACATCGAGTGGTTGCCACCTGCACGACCCAACCAGGGCCAGAGACAAACTGCAACTGAGATACATTCCCTTAGCAGGAACGAAACCCGGGTCTTTCTGGACCACAGGCCGACACTCTCACCACTGAGAAAAACGGCCAGGGCTTATTCTCATTTTATAGATGAGGAAACAGAAACACAGAGAGCCCAAGTAACTTGTCCAAATTTATGCGGTAAATGGTGTAAGCAGGATTCAACCTAAGCCTTTCTGATTCCAGAACCCAACACTTTGAATACTCTTCTCCAAGCCCAAAGTGAACCATTGAGACCCCCTCCCCCTATTATTTTTGTTTCCTCTGGCAGTTACTTTCCACTTTAGTGCTTTACCCTTTTCCTTGCTTCACTTTGCAGATAGTAAACTTCTATTCATGCTTCAAAGCCCAGCTCAAATGCTCCTTCCTCTCTGAAGCTTCCCAGATTCCCAGGCATAGCTAATGGCTCAGTTTTCTTTTTTTGAGCTCCCCAAACAGCTGCTGCTGATCTCTTTCGTCACATCACACTGTGTGATAGTTTCTGTGTCTGTTTCCCCAATCAGGTGATATGATTCTTCATCTTATGCCTCAGAGGGCCCAGCGCAGCACTCGGTCCTCAACCAATGCTTACTGAATCGAACAAAATCGATCTATTTTTCTACAGGTGGAGAAGCTGCTAATGGAGAAATGCTCCGAGCTCTCAGCAGTCACAGAGAGGTACATCTGGATGCTGGCAGTGGAAGGGGCTGGCGGGTGGTGGTGAATTTCCTTTTACTGACTTTATCAGCAGCAATTGAAAAACTCCCTTGGGATTTTCTGTCCCGTTTTCAGGCCCTAGGGAGAATATAAAAGGCAGAGGGGCCTGGGCATGGGAAGAAAGGGCCCTTGAGGTTGAGCACAAGGAATAAGTTTCCCATAGCTTTGGGAAGCCCCCCTGACCCCCAGAGTCAAGGCAAGGTGAAAGCAGACACTCACACCCTTACCCTCACATACACACAGACACAGATTTCACAGACACTCACTTGCTCATACGCAGATATGTAAACACACACTGGTGCACTCACAGAAACACACTCACACCCTCTTCTCTGTATCTCACACACATACACATACCTCGTTTACACTCGGACACACGCTCAACCTCACATGTACACGTACCCAGTTATATGTTGGCCTCTCCCTCACCCCTTCCAGCCTCCCTGTCCTGGAAGAAAAACCTGGAACTTGGCAGCCCCTAGGCCCCCCCGTGGGGTCTTTGGCCTTCCAGTGTGGAACATTCTCAGGCCACAGGGATGCATTTGGGCCTGATTCCCAGAAGTTTTGCCTGTCTGGGTGAAAATCCTCAAGGCTTCCTTCTGCACACCGTAGGCAGCCATTCCTAAGAGGGCACTGCCATACACCTCAGAGCGAGCACCAGCCAAGCTGGCATCCAGCACCCCTCTTCTGCAGCCCCCCCCCCCCACTCCCCAGACCCAAGCTGCGATCCTCCAGGGAGAAGCCCAGAGGTAGGATTTGGCTGCTTTCTGCAGGCCTTTCTTCCTGGTGGCGTGGACTGCTAACTCCCATCTCGGGCCGGCACTTATCTGAACAGTAGGAAGCCAAGGGATGAGCCACCTGTGAGAGGCTCCATCTTCGACTCCCCAGGAATCGCTGTGTTCCCCTCCGGCCACTTGTGCCATCACCGGGCCTGCGCAGGCCCACATCTACCCTTGCAATGCTCCGGGTCGACCGCCTGCCCCTTCCAGTGGCCCACCCCACGTTTTATTTTCTCCAGGTGCCTCCAAGTTGAGAATGAGCATGTCCTGAAGTCCATGAAGGCCTGTGTGAGTGAGACCCTGAGCACGCTGGGCCAGCACTTCGGCCAGCTGCTGGAGCTGGCCCTGACCCGGGAGGTGCAGGTCAGTGAAGGCTGGGCTGCAGGGAGGGAGAGGAGGGCAGAGAAACTGGGCCGAGCTGGGGGAAGCTACGGAGTGGCCTTCCTTGGGGGACATCCTCCTTAGACCACCCAAATGAACGCCAGCACCTGAGAGACAGGACTGTCAGGGCTGAGCAGAGACTTCTCAAGCAGTTAGCTCAAGCCTGCACTTTGCAGAGCAAACACTGCAGCCTAGAGAGAGAAGAGACTTATCCAAAGTCACACAGCAAGGGGGGGGGGGCAGAGCCTGATACGCTCAGTTTCACTTTCGGGATCACTCCCACCACCCGACATCTTCTCTGTTGAATTCCTGTTCACAGTGCACACACTGGATTTAAAAAAAAAAATTAATTAATTAATTTTTGTTACAGATGTTTCTCCTTTTCCCCCCACTGATTCCCCCTCTCCTCCCTCCCCGCCCTGTCCCCAGCTTTGTTGTCCATGTCCACTGTTCATACACACATGCATATAAGTTCTGTGGTTTATCTCTCCCCTGACCCTCTCTTCTGGGGATTGTCAGTCTGTACCCCACTTCCACGTCTCTGGGACTACCCCGTTCCTCAGACTGTTATGTTCAATATATTGCACAAATAAGTGAGATCATATGATACTTGTCTTTCTCTGTTTGGCTTGTTTCACTTAGAATGATACTTTCCAGGTCCCTCCATGTAGTCTCAAAGGATAAGAGATCTTTCTTTCTTATCCCTGCATAGTACTCCATTGTGTATATGTACCACAGCTTTTTTATCCATTCCTCTACTGATGGACACTTGGGCTGTTTCCAGATCTTAGCTATTGTAAATAGTGCTGTTATGAACATGGGGGTACATATATTCTTTCTGATTGGTGTTTCAGGCTTCTTAGGGTATATTCCTAGAAGTGGGATCACTGGGTCAAATGGAAGTTCAATTTTGAATTTTTTGAGGTAACACCACATTGTCCATAGTGGCTGCACCAGTCTGCATTCCCACCAGCAGTGTACTAGAGTTCCCTTTACTCCACACCCTCGCCAACACTTGTTGTTTGATGATTTGTTGATGGCAGCCATTCTGACAGGTGTGAGGTGATACCTCATTGTTTTAATTTGCATCTCTCTGATGACTAGTGATGTTGAGCATTTCTTCATATGTCTCTTAGCCATTTGTATGTCCTGTTTGGAGAGGTGTCTATTTAGTTCCTCTGCTCATTTTTTTTTTTTTTTTTTTGTTCAGATAGAGTGGGAGGGAGAGAGAGGAAGAGAGAGAGAGAGAAACATCGATGTGAAAGGGACACATCGAGTGGCTGCCACCCGCACGACCAACCAGGGCCGGGGACAAACTGCAACCGAGGTACGTGCCCTTAGCAGGAACCGAACCCGGGTCTCTCAGGACCGCAGGCCGATGCTCTAACCGCTGAACCAAACCGGCCAGGGCTCCTCTGCTCATTTTTTAATTGGATTCTTTGTCTTCCTTTTGTTGAGTTGTATGAGACTGTATATATTTTGGAAATTAACCCTTTATCTGATGTATCATTGGCAATTATGCTCTCCCATAGAGTGGGTTGCCTTTCCATTTTGGTGGTTGTTTCTTTTGTTGTGCAGAAGCTTTTGAGTAGTCCCATGTATTCATTTTTCCCTTTGTTTCTGTTGCTTTAGGTGATGTAGCAGTGAAAATTCGGCTGCGTATGATGTCTGAAATTTTGTTGCCTACATTTTCTTCTAGAATTTTTATGGATGCATGAGTCACATTTAAGTCTTTTATCCTTTTTGAGTTTATTCTTGTGTATGGTGTAAGTTGATGGTCTAGTTTCTTTTTTTTTTTTGCATGTGGCTGTCCAATTTTCCCAACACCATCTTTTAAAGAGGCTGTTTTTACTCCACTGTATGCTCTTGCCCCTTTGTCAAATATCAATTGAGCATATTGTCTTGAGTCCATTTCTGGGTTTTCTATTCTGTTCCATTGATCTATCTGCCTGTTCTTGTGCCAGTACCAGGCTGTTTTGATTACAATGGCTTTGTAGTATAACCTGAAATCTGGTAATGTGATCCCTTCAACTTTATTTTTTTTTGTCAAGATTTCTGTGGCTATTTGGGGTCTTTTTTTGGTTCCATCTGAACTTTTGAAGTATTTGTTCTAGTTCTGTGAAGTATGTCGTTGGTATTTTGATGGGGATTGCATTGAATCTATAGATTGCTTTGGGTAGTATGAACATTTTAATGATGTTAATTCTTCCAATCCATGAGCAAGGTATGTGCTTCCACTTTTTTATATCTTCCTCTGTTTTTTTTTTTAAATGACCTGTAGTTTTCTGTGAATAGGTCCCTTATTTCTTTGGTTAAGTTTATTTCTAGGTATCTTCATTTTTTTTTGCTGCGATGGTAAATGGGATTTTTTAAAATTTCTCTTTCTGTGAGTTCATCATTGGTGTATAAGAATGCCATCAATTTCTCGACGTTAATTTTGTATCCTGCTACTTTGCCAAATTCATTTATTAAGTCTAGTAAATTTTTGATGGAGTCTTTGGGGTTTTCTATGTATAGTATCATGTCATCTGCAAATAAGGACAGTTTCACTTGCTCCTTTCCAATTTGGATCCCTTTAAATTTTTCTTCCTGTCTGATTGCTGTGGCTAAGACTTCTAGTAATATGTTAAATAAGAGTGGAGAAAGTTGGCATCCTTGTCTTGTTTCAGTTCTTAAGGGAAATGCTTTTAGTTTTTGCCCATTGAATACACACACTGGATTTTGATCATCCTGAAAGACTTAAGGTACCTGAAGAAAACAAGCTGATGCTGGAAATCCTGGCAATAAAGAAGAATCTGGAAAGAGCATATAGTAGAACCCAGCCTCTAGGCAGGCTCAAGTTGGGTTCCAGAGCGAGTGAGGGTCTGGAGCCTGCCGGATCTACTTGCAACCTCTTATTCCTCCTGAGGCCTTAGTCATGTTCCTCAGTTTCTTGGCCTCATTTCCTCACCTGTGAAGTGCCACCCTATGTCTTCTTCCGCAGCACACATGCCGAAACCTGGACGACACAGAGCAGATTAGCACAGCCCCTGCACAAGGATGAGACACAAATTCACAAAGTGTTCCTTATTTAGAAAATAAATAAATGAAGTGCAACTCTCCCCCAGAAGGAAAGTGAGAGGACTAAGCAAACAACATATGGAAAATGCTTAGCACGTAGCCCGGGTTAAATACATAGTATTCCTCTCCCTTGCCTTTTTCTATTTTCAAAGTCTTCCAGAAAAGCAAATTCCATAAGGTTTTCATTATGAAAGGTATTTACATGTTATTTATAGTTACAGAAATATTGTGTTACATATTTTCCATTCTTTTCCCACCACCAAATAAAAGCCTTCCACCAATAACAAATCTCTTTCCATGTTGGCTTTCCTCCAAACTCAGCCTCTCTACCAAGGCCGGACTTTGCTTTCTGTCTTTCTCCTGTCTGGCTCGTCTTGCCTGGGGCACGCCCTTCTGGCCTGGCCCCCCTGCTGGTCAGTGCAGCTGGCCCCATGCATGTTCACCCTCCCGACCCAGAAGCTTCTGTGAAGGTCACTCTCCCTGTCTTGAGAGTCTGGGACAAGGGTAAGAGAGGGCCAGGGCTGGGGTGCTGGGGCTGGCACTTAGAGCCGATGAGCAAATGCTGACAGTCACACGTAGGGGCAGACAGTGGTTCAAGCTGGGGCCAATGTCCCAAACTGATCCATTGAGTTCCAGAGGGACCCAGTAGAACATGCGGGCCAACATGGGTGAAGAGACTGAGGGAGTGATGAGTGAGGATCTGGACGTCAGTGGCGGGGTGGAGGGGATGTCAGTGGCGGGGTGGAGGGCACGTCAGTGGTGAGGTGGAGGGGACGTCAGTGGCGGGGTGGAGGGCACGTCAGTGGCGGGGCGGAGGGGCGCCTGGAAGAATTTTCGAGCAGGGGCACAGGTGTCACAGACGCTTTTTATGCCATGTTTGCTATCTCTTGCCTGGAACTTCCAGGTTCAACAAAAAGGCCTGGAATGAAGAATTCTGTTGGATGGTAAACAGAAGCCAGCTGGGTTTGGAAGTAGTCATCAGCTTTTACCAGGGGGCAAAGGGCAGGGTGTCCTTTTGATGCTGTAGATCACTGAATCCTGGGAAAAGCTCCCTGGGGTGCAAAAAGCCTACTTGGGGCCTTTTGGACTATGTATCTAACTTCTTCTAAAAGGTCTTCACACATTCGTAGTCTTTCATAGACAGGGATTTTGGTGGGTTTCCACGGATATATTTTCATGGATATATACATATCTAGTGACTAGAATAGTACCTGGCATACAGTAGGAGCTTGAACAGAGAATATTGCTCTTACCTCCCCCCCCCCCCCGCCCCGGAATTATACATGGTAGAATGGTGCTTACAACAAGGGCAGAGGTAATCTAGCACTTGTCTGCACTGCCTAGTCCATCCTGGAATGTTACCAGACCCCAAATGTGTCATTGGCAATGACAGTGCTCAGAGGGTGGGGTAGGGCTGATGCTCTGGAGGAGCGGGGACTGTTTACTCTAAGGCTGGACACTCTGTTAGCTCCAAAGTTCTGTGCTTCCTAGGAAGAAGGACCCTAGGCCAGTGGAGCCAAGTTCCAAGACGGTCTGTGTAAAAATGAGTTTAGGAAGCAATAGGGCTGCCCCACAATAGAAGGGGAACCTTCGGAACTCCCCATCACTGAGATGGGCAAGTCGTGTCTGGGAGGACATCGGCACTGGATGGAGGTTAGACTGAGTGACCTGCAAGGGTTCTTCCAATCTTGGTAGTATGCAAGTCTGTGAAGGTGGGCATTGGGGAGTTGTCTGAGCATGGGGTTTGGAGGCACACCAGGGTTCAAATTCTGTCCATGCTACTTACTGGATATGCAAACCTGGGAAAGTTACTTGCTTTCTCTGATCCTCAGTGTCCTCATCTCCACACTGGGTGGTTGTTAGGGTTAAATGAGACAACACATGGGTATTTGGTGGCACTTTTCTGAATGTGTCAACAAACTTAGTCACTAGAAACCAACAGCAAGCTTTGCTAAAAGAACTCGTAATCACCTGCCTCATTGTTTATTAAAATAATTTAACTACTTGGTAATCATAGAAAAATTTAAGGCTTAAATGTTAGGAGTCACCAGCGGGAAATTAATGAGCATCAATACTTAGCCACGTGGGAGGTAAAAGGAGAAGCTGGGACTCACAAGGACAGATTTACCTGAAGATGGCTTCTCGGGCACTCTCCATGGAGCCCCTGGCTCAGCTTCATGTGGCTAGGTGTCGTGTGTATGCACCCTTCCAGTCCATCAATCCATTCTTCTTTTAGTTTAAAGTAGCACACGATACTAATAAAACGGACTGGGGAATGTATTTCTGGCTCTGTGGCTAAGTGAGCTTGTTAAAACTTCATCACACAGTTAAATTTCCCCTTTATGGCCCAGGCAGAGCTGGACAGCCTCAGGCCTCACCTGAGGGACAAACACCTATCCTGTGACAAAGGTCAAACCACAAGGACATTTTCTAAGTGAAGAGGGACAGGCAACAAGCTGAACATAATTCCTTCTTTCAAACTCACTCACCTTATTCCTACCCTCTCCGTGTGGCAACAAGGAGAGGTAGAGAGTCAAGCCAACGGAGATAGTGATGCCGAAATCCCAACCTAGGGGAACAGGAGAAGTGAGGACCAAGTACTGCCCCTTAGTAGTTCACAGTTCTTGTTACCTTATTGGCTTTATCCATTAGGCTATGCTGAGATAGGAGTGTGGCTGAGCCCCCTGGAGGAGAAGGTTGGCTGCCCGCGGAGCAATCCTTTTCCACCTTTTGGAAGCCATTTTCCCGAATAACAACTCCTACTCTTCTGTAGATTCTTTTGGAATCACAGTGGGCAATTTCGACTTTGCTCCCAGCAGGCTCGGAAATGACTCACAATATTACGTTCATTAAATTAACTCTAAGGAGGCTTTGTAACTAAAGCTCAAAATTGCTTTCCTGTTTCATTCCCTGCTCTCAGATTTAGCTCAGCTATGTTGTCTAAAATAGGTAATTAGAGGCTGCAATGTGATTAAATGACAACACAAAGATAATCTAAACATAATTGCCAGATGAGAAATATAAAGATGTCCAAAAATTTAATATAGTCTCCTATCTCATTTTAAAGTTTCCTTAGAGAAAAGAAAGTAAAAGAGAAAAAATGGCACTCCATCACCCTTAAGAATAATTCAAAGTCCCAAATTCTTAGGTTAATACAATTCTTTTCAATTTGCTTATTCTGCTCATCTCATCCCAGTGTGTGTGGGGAATCGTGTTTCCTCGGGCGGGTACAGCCCGGGCCGTCTCTCCAGCAATGGGCTTCTCAGTTTATCTTTCCCCAACATCTGGGAAAGGGCCCGAGAGTAAGGACAGTGGATACACACTCTCACTGCAGCAGTACCCCTGCAGTCACAGTGTTCAAACCGGCGAATCCTCCATTTCTAGAGCAGGGACTCCAGGCAGCATGTTGTCCCAGGACTCCATCCTTGAGCCAAAGTCCTTTCAGAAATCCATCTGTCCCTGGGAGGAAAAGGGTGGTAGCCATACCATCTGGGTTGCAGCTGCAGCAGGTTGTCACCCAGTTTATTTCACTTGTCCATAGTCCACAAGGATTTATCAACATCCATTCACTGGGGAAGCATCCATCATAGGTTAATTGTGGTACGATGCTCACCATATATGGGAGAAAAAATGCCTCCTTTCTCTTCGAGGGCACTTGATAATTTATCGATTTTTTGAGAGAGAGGAAGGGAGGGAGAGAGAGAAAGAGAGAGAGAGAGAGAAACATTGATGTGAGAGATACATTTATTGGCTGTCTCCTGCATGCCTCTTACTTACTGGGGATCGAGCCCATAACCTGGGCATGTTCCCTGATGGGGAATTGATCCGGGACCTCTCAGTCCATGGGACGATGCTCAAGCCACTGAGCCACACCAGCTGGGCAACATTTCTTAATTTCTAGCTCCCCTGTAAATGCTGTGTTTCTGCCACCCCAGGCTGCATTGATTTGGGCTCCTTGAAGTGATTTAGGCCAGTGGTCTTCAAACCACTTCAAATGTACTGAATTCTCCAGGTACCCAGAGATTTCCCAGGAGACATGAGAGCACATATAGTCTTAAGAAAATTCATTTCCAGATCTTCAATTTTCATTTGTTTTGTTTTGTTTTCTCCTAAAACGATCCTCCCAACACTACACAGAGTTTATAACAGTCCTATCGTTTTCCAAAAGAAAGGCATCCTCATCACTCACCCCAAATCTTGCAGTGCATGGCCTGGCTGTGCAGAGGACTCGGAATGGGGGTGGGGAGATCAAACAAAGGAGAACCGTCATTTATGAGCCATAAACCCTTAGGCCTCCATGAATTGTCTTACACATATTTCTGTTGAGAAAGGCACTAGAAATTGTGTCTTTTTCCAGTGTATAGATTTGTTAAATGCAGATATATGGGGGAAAGAGAGTTGGAGGGGAGGTTACAAAAGTTTCCAATTTATCTTATCCCCCTATCTCATTTCATCTCAAATTGTGCTTGGCTCTTGAAAAGAGAGCACTGGTAAAACACATTGAACCTTAAAAATGTTTTTTTTTTTTTTTTTTTTATGGAGATCATAATTAGATGCAGGCAATCTTTTCAGCTATATTTCATACTCAGCCTATGTCATTAACTGTAAAGAAAAGTCTTTGAAACCCAAAGACTCTAAAGGTTAATGAGACCGACTCTTCCCGACGTAATTGGGATATTTTTGAGAACAACCAAGTGCTTAAAGATACAGTGGTTAAAATTCACAGAGACAAGTTTTATATGGTTTTTTTTTTTTTTCAGATTTGGTGCACATTATTTAAGAAAGCAGTTAACGCCTATTTTGTTAAAACATTTTGTGAAATATTTACAGTAATTCTACTTCCTGTTAACAAAAGATGAAATTAATTGCTGGCAGCTGAACTAATTAGTTTCAGCGGTAAATATTTTTTTCCTTCTTTAAATACATGGAGTTTGATCATGAGAGCTAAATATAATCGAATGCCTTCTGATTTTTTTTCTCAGATCTTGTTTAATTGTTCTGTAAAATGAACACC